TCAGGAAAGCATGCTGTGCGGAGGTTAACAGGTTTTTCGACTCGAGAAGTTGCAGAAGGCTCTTCTTCACGATCTTCTCGAGCGTCTTTGCCAAAACTGACGTCAGGCAGATCGGCCGGTAGTTATCCACTTTGCTTGGGTTACCACCTTTCGGGATAGGCTTTACGACTGAGCATTTCCAGTCGTCCGGTAGTAGACCAGTGGATAGTGACCTGTTAAACAGTTCAGTTACAGAAGGTGCAATTATGGTCGATAATGACTTGAGGATTAGTGGGTGTATACCATCTGGCCCAGCAGGTTTCGTCCCGTCAAGATTTGCTAGAATCTTGCGTACATCCTCAATATTGCAGCCCAGGCTGTTAAGTTCGGCTGGAGCGGTGCTCGTCGAACTCATTACAGACACCTGGTCACTTGCGAATACGGAGGCGAAGTGCGTTGCCAATGCAGACGCACGATCTGTACTCGAGGTTAGAGGCTGTCCTTCAGAGCCTTCTAACACTGGGATATTGGCTACAGGCTTAGGCGCCGCTTCACATACGCAAAGATCCTTTTGGGAGCAGATTTTGCGGCAGTTGATTATAATGATTATCACGATTGTTAATAGCTTTATGATATTGATAATGATATTGATGATGGTGATGTCGATCAGGATGATTATGATGATCATAAGGATGAATACTATATTGTTACTTATGATATTGCTGAATTTAATAAGGCCTGTAATTACGATTATGATTTTTTAAATATGTATTATGACATTTTTATGACGATGATGACGAGGACGTTGTTTATGATGATGATTATGATGATGATACTGATGATGACGTTGTTGATGGTCATGACGCTATTCATGAATAAAATACCGATATTAAAGATAAAGTTGAATATGTTGTTGATGAGGATGATGTTGATGAGGATATTTTTGTGTTGATGATTCAAACTATGACGGTGATGATAATGGTGATATTTATGCTTATGTAGAGAATGATGAGGTTGACAATGTTGATGACCATGATGAGGTTGACAATGTTGATGACCATGATGAGGATGATGATGATGATGATGATGATGATGATGATGATGATGATGATGATGATGACGATGATGATGATGATGATGATGATGATGATGATGATGATGATGATGATGATGATGATGATGATGATGATGATGATGATGATGATGATGATGATGATGATGATGATGATGATGATGATGATGATGATGATGATGAATATAATTATGATGTTATTGATATGGTTGATGATGTAGGTGAATATAAGTATGATCATGATGATAATGATGACGACGACGAATTTGATTTTCATGAAAATGCAGCTATTGACGACGATGATGATTTTACAAAAAAAATATTATGATATCGAGTATGATGAGGATGAGAACGATGTAGTTGATTAGGATGATGATGAAGATAATGATGATGACGATGACGCTGATGATACTGATTATGAGGAGGAGGTTGATGTTTATGTTTGTGATTATGATAATGATGAGGTTGATGATGATGATGATGATGATGATGGAACAATGCAACAATGATTTATTACTGGTAAAACAGCATCGCTGAACAAATACCGTAAGATGGAAATTATTGCGAAAATCAATTGCATAATAAAGTGAAAAGATTTGTGGTGGGCTCAACAGAAACTTATATGGAATAGCGAAGATGTTCGCGTATTAAACGTATAAATCCATAAATCCATTGGTTAGGCGTTTGGCAAGACACCGTTTGAATACCTTTTGTAGCCCCTGGCGATCAAGTCATAAAACGAAATGTAAGTGCGACAATATATCGTCAGCACGTTTTTTAAATATCGCCAGATTGGAAGCAGAGACGACATAATTAGAGAGGATGTTCAAGAGCTGCACACGCAGGGAGAAATGAAATTTCTACGGCATTCAAGCCGGCTATATTGAATTGTCAGTTTCTGATGGTGACCTCTTAGTTTAGTGTTGTGGTTCAATTCCAGCAGCGGACGGCAAATGTGGTTTGGATTCTTCAGAATCTGGTAAACCATTATGAGATCCCCCGCAAAGCCGATACCGACTGCTGTAGGTTCTTAGGTATTTCAGTCTAAGCTGATAGGGCAGATGAAAGAGGTTACTGACGTTCTTGGTTGCCCGTCATTGAGGAGTCACGGGAGCAACGAGATCCATTTTTTGCCACTGTGGCCACGCCTGAATAGCATATTCCACGTGAGGTCGCACGTAGGCGTTAAGCGTTCAGGGAAAGTGTTGATTTCCGGTTCTTGTTGCCTTCTCTGCCTGTTTTGAACACCCGGGATCTACCTGTAGCAAAAAACCCAGTTCGCGCTCCTGAGAAACCTTCCCCAAGGTGTGGTCTCCAATCTTGTAACCGCTCACCGGCTGGTGACGCAGATGCATCACCTTGCACTTAGCCATGTTCAATTGAAGCTGGTTTCTCTTTGACCATTCATAAATGCAATCTAGGTCAGGTTGGACCAGATCCTGATCTGGCTTGTTACCAATCGCCCGCCATATCTTGACGTTATCGGCAAAAAGCAGAAAATTTGAGGAGATGACTCTTGCCAGGTCGTTGATAAACAATATGAATAAACGCGGTCCCAGCACTGGGCCTTGTGGGACACCACATTCTACCTCAAATGGGTTAGAAAGTGATCCCCTTAAACGTACTTGAAGCTTTCGTTGGTAACTGAAGTTGCCAATACAACCAAGTACAGGATCTCCGATTCGGTAACTTTGTAGTCTTTGAAGTAGGATGCGGTGATCAAGGCGGTCGAAAGCTTTGGAGAAGTCCAGATAGATGAGGTCGCCTCCGACCCCATCATCGGCCACTTACGTCCAACTGCCTTGTGCAGTCAGTAGGTTGGTGGTGCATGACCGGTGTTGACGGAAGTCATGCTGTTCCGGTACCAAAATGTTGCATTTTTCCAGGTAGTCCATTAAAGTCTCAGCGAAAACTGCTTCCATCAACCTCGCGAGCACAGGAAGAAGATTCACTGGACGATAGTTTGCAATATCGGAACGGCTACCGCCTATAAAAATAGGGGTTATAATGCCACACTTTCACATAGTGGGGACATGTTGTTCATCAAAACATCTTTGAAATAACTGTGACAGTGGTTCAGCTAGCTTGGTGGCCGTAGCCTTCAGTGACTTCGGGCGGATGTTGTCTGCTTCTGGAGAACTATGCTCACGCATTGAGAGTAACTTCCTTAGCACAATTGACGGGTTGAAAATAACATTTGTAAACAAATATGTCGGTAATGTGTTTGATATTATGGGACAGGTAGATGTAGCGAGCTTAAAAATTGGGGCGTATTGCAGCCGCAGGGCATTAGCTGCTTCTTCGGCGCTTTGTACTCTACCGCCTGTCGTGAATAGTGGGGGTATTCCATTTTACTTTACGATGCTTATTGACATGCTTATATAGCAGTTTGTTGTTCGCCATGAACTTTTTGGCTAGGCACTGTTGATATCTTACATTGTCCTCACGGACAAGTGCAGTGCAATGGTTGCGATGGGTCAGGAAATTTCCCCAAGTCTCTGATTCGGGGTTACCCTTGCAGGCACGCCATGCTGCATCCCTTATCAACAGGCATTTTTAACTCCTACTCCTTATAATTGAAGGCATTTTCGCGGGACGAAGGGGTTTGCTCTCTGATGCTTTGTTGACGATGTCGCTGAGTAAATTAACGAACTCTGCCCAAACGTTTTCAAGAGGACTTTTGTTTGAGAATTCCCAAGCAGCTGCGTCGGCGAGTTCTTTCAATACGTAGTAGCGTGTGATTGTATGAGTTAGTTCCGAGTGTTTAGAAGGATACTGTGCATAACGCACATAGTCAAAAGTTATTACTACAGGGTCACTGAGACCTAGCTTGTCAACCATGAGCTCTTCATTTGTGAGCAAAAGGTCCAATATGGACGGTTTGTTTGCTGTCCTGAATCTAGTGGGCGTGGTGACATGATTGTACAAAGGAATATTAGCGATCAGTTCATGCAAGTGTGCTTTGAACTGCTCACTGGGCGTTGCCGAAACCTCCAGATTGTGTTGATTGAATTCCCCGGAGATGAGAATATGGCTGTACCTAGTGCGTGTTACTCTGCTTAGGCCACGGATCAAGCAGGAATCCATTTCCAGAGTGGATGTTGGGAGGCGGTAAACGATAGCTACGAGATATATGTCGTTGTGTCTTAGTCGGAGACGGCACCAGAGTGAGTCGGTAACGTGTGTTTCCAGGTCATCAACTATTGTACATTGTAGATCGCTGCGGTAGTAGATTAGGACCCCACCACCTCTGTTGGGGCGGTCGTTCCGGATGAGTGACATTCCGGTTATCTAAACCTCAGCACCAGTCACCTCTTGATATAACCAAGTTTCGGTAATATAAATTAGGTCCCAAGCATTCGCAGCCTGACGTAGTCGAAGTTCGATAAATTTACTGAGGAGCCCTTGGGCGTTAGTGTACATACATTAAAGTTCCTCAGATACAATCAATATTCCAGAAGTTGTACAAGTTATACGTGAAGTTCCCCCGACCAGTAAGTTGCCGGTGACTGGAAAGATGGATAAGGAAAATAAATTTACGCTGACCATAAAAAGGTCGGAGACAAAGAAATTTTGGGATGGAACGCATAAACTCAAGATTTACTTGATATATCAGCAGATAAAGATGATTTTTACCATGATGATTATGATCCTCATGATGATGAACTTGATGATGATGATAATGAGGATCATGATGTTCAAGATGCTGAATGTGATTATCAAGATGAAGATGATGCTGAGGATGTAAATGAAGATGACGAGGATTATGATGATGAAAATGATGATTATTATGATAATGATCATGATGATGATGATGATGATGATGATGATGATGATGATGATGATGATGATGATGATGATGATGATGATGATGATGATGATGATGATGATGATGATGATGATGATGATGATGATGATGATGATGATGATGATGATGATGATGATGATGATGATGAAATGTGATGATGATGATGATGATGATGATGATGATGATGATGATGATGATGATGATGATGATGATGATGATGATGATGATGATGATGATGATGATGATGATGATGATGATGATGATGATGATGATGATGATGATGATGATGATGATGATGATGATGATGATGATGATGATGATGATGATGATGATGATGATGATGATGATGATGATGATGATGATGATGATGATGATGATGATGATGATGATGATGATGATGATGATGATGATGATGATGATGATGATGATGATGATGATGATGATGATGATGATGATGATGATGATGATGATGATGATGATGATGATGATGATGATGATGATGATGATGATGATGATGATGATGATGATGATGATGATGATGATGATGATGATGATGATGATGATGATGATGATGATGATGATGATGATGATGATGATGATGATGATGATGATGATGATGATGATGATGATGATGATGATGATGATGATGATGATGATGATGATGATGATGATGATGATGATGATGATGATGATGATGATGATGATGATGATGATGATGATGATGATGATGATGATGATGATGATGATGATGATGATGATGATGATGATGATGATGATGATGATGATGATGATGATGGTGATGATGATGGTTGATGATGCTTATGATGATGTTGATGATGATGGTTTTGACGTGGAATGCGATGAAAATGATGATGATGGTGATGATGAAGATGACGATGATTTTGTTGATGATGCTGATGAAGATACGGACGATGAAGATGGAGCTGATGATACTGATTATGAGGAGGATGTTGATGTTTATGATGATGATTATGATGGAGCAATGGAACAATCGTTTATTATGGGTAAAACAGCATCGCTGAACAAGTCACGTGAGATGGAAATTATTGCGAAAATCAACTGCACAATAAAGTGAAAAGCGTTGTGGTGGACTCGCCATAGACTTATAGAGAATAGCGGAGAGGTTTGTGTAGTAAACGTATAAATCCATAAATCCATTGGTTAGGCGTTTGGCAAGAAACCGTTTGATTGCTTTCTTTAGCCCCTGGCGATCAAGTCATAAAACGAAATGTAAGTGCGACAATATATCGTCAGCACGTTTTTTAAATATCGCCAGATTGGAAGCAGAGACGACATAATTAGAGAGGGCGCACATGGCTGGCACACGTGGGGAGAAATGAAATTTCTACGGCATTCAAGCCGGCTATATTGAATTGTCAGTTTCTGATGGTGACCTCTTAGTTTAGTGTTGTGGTTCAATTCCAGCAGCGGACGGCAAATGTGGTTTGGATTCTTCAGAATCTGGTAAACCATTATGAGATCCCCCGCCAAAGCCGATACCGACTGCTGTAGATTCTTAAGGATTTCAGTCTAAGCTGATAGGGCAAATGAAAGAGGCCCCTGACGTTGCTGGTTGCCAATCGTTGTGGCGTCACGAGAACAACGAGATCCTGTTTCTTCCACTGCGGCCACGCCTGCTTAGCATATTCCACGTGAGGTCGCACGTAGGCGTTGAGCATTTGGGAAAAGATTGCGGGAACAAACCGACCGAAGGCTCTGCGAAGTGGGCCGAGGTGTTGATTTCCGGTTCTCGTCGCCTTCTCTGTTGATGATGTTAATGACGATGAGGAAGAGTTTGAAGATGATGATGCTAATATTGATGTGCATGATGATGTGCATGATGAAGATGCTGACGAAGATGAATATGATGCTGATGCTGAGGATGATGAGAAATAATTTGAAAAGTATGACGATGAATAGGAAGATGATGATGTTGATAATGATTACTATGATAGTTACGTTGACGATAATTATGAAGATTTTGAAGATGATGATGATACATTTGATTTTGAGGCTAATAAAGAGGCGACGATGATGGTGATGAAAATGATGACGTTGATGCCGATGATGTCGATGATGATAATGAAGATATAGCAGAGGACGCTTTAATGTTAATGACGATGATATGGTTGTTGATGATGAAGATGATGTCGCCGATTTTGATGGTGATGATGTTTATCATAAGTATCTTTATCATCATCGGCGTCATTAGCAATATCATCATCCTCATCGTCATCATCACTATAAACACCACAATCAAGGTCAACCTCAACGTATTCCTCATCTTCGTCATCCTTAATGTGCTCATGATAATAATAAAAAGTCATCATAAACATAAACATTTTCATGATGATCAACATCATCATCATCATCATCATCATCAAAATCGTCATCATCATCTTCATATTCAACAACAACATCATCGTCATTAACATTAAATGGTTCTTTTCTACATTTTAATTATCACCATCAACATAATCATCATCATCATTATCACGTTCAATCTTCGTCTCCTTCATTAGCATAATAATCGAATGCATCATCATCGTCTTCAATATCTTCATAAGTATCGTCAACGTAACTATTATAATAATCATTATCAACATCATCATCTTCCTATTCATCGTCATAAATTTCAACATATTGCTTATCATCAACATTAGCATCATCATCGACTTCATCAAAATTTTCATCATGCACATCAACATTGTCATCATCATCTTCAACATCTTCCTCATGGTCATTAACATCATCAACTGAGAAGGCGACGACAACCGGAAATCAACACCTCGGCCCACTTCGCAGAGTCTTCGGTCGGTTTGATCCCGCAATGTTTTCCCAAATGCTCAACGCTTAAGTGCGACCTCACGTGGAATATGCTAATCAGGCATGGCCGCAGTGGCAGAAACAGGATCTCGTTGCTCCTGTGACTCATCAACGTCAGGCAACCACGAACATCAGGGGCCTCTTTCATTTGCCCTATCAGCTTAGACTGAAAACCCTAAGAATCTACAGCAGTCGGTATCGGCTTTGGCGGGGGATCTCATAATGGTTTACCAGATTCTGAAGAATCCAAACCACATTTGCCGTCCGCTGCTGGAATTGAACCACAACACTAAACTAAGAGGTCACCATCAGAAACTGACAATTCAATATAGCCGGCTTGAATGCCGTAGAAATTTCATTTCTCCCCACGTGTGCCAGCCATGTGCGCCCTCTCTAATTATGTCGTCTCTGCTTCCAATCTGGCGATATTTAAAAAACGCGCTGACGATATATTGTCGCACTTACATTTCGTTTTATGACTTGATCGCCAGGGGCTAGAGAAAGCAATCAAACGGTTTCTTGCCAAACGCCTAACCAATGGATTTATGTATTTATACGTTTAATACGCGAACCTCTGCGCTATTCTCTAAAAGTCTATGGCGAGTTCACCACAACGCTTTTCACTTTAATATGCAATTGAATTTCGCAATACTTTTCATCTCTCGGGATTTGTTTAGCGATGCTATTTTACCCGTAATAAACGATTGTTCCATTGTTCCATCATCATCATCATCATCACCAACATAAACATCAACATCCTTCTCATAATCAGTATCATCAGCGCCATCTTCATCATCAATATCTTCATCATCATCCTAATCAACTACATCATCCTCGTCCTCATCATACTCAATATTTTAATATTTAACCTAAAATATTCATCATCATAAATAACTGCCTTATCATAAAATATAAAAATCGTCGTCGTCAACATCATCATCATAATCATCCTCGTATTCACCTTCATTATCCATCTCATCATCAACATCATAATTATATTCATCATCATCACCACCATCATCATCATCATCAGCATCAGCAGCATCAGCATCATCCTTATTAGATTAACCATCAATCATTTTATTGTCACCATCTTCATCATCATCATAATCGTCTTGAACATCGTCATCATGGTCATCATGTATATGTCGTGATGTTTTTCATCATCATCCTAATCATTATCATCATAAACATTAACGCCAATTTCACCGTTATCTTGATCATCAAACATTTTATCCTCTTAACCAGTATCATCATGTTCCTCCTCATAAATATCCTCATCATAAACATCAATATCATCCGCATGGTCATCAACATTGTCAACCTCATCATTCTCTACATAATCATCAATATCACCATTATCATCACCGTCATAGTTTGAATCATCAACATAAAAATATCCTCATCAACATCATCATCATCAACAACATATTCAACTTTATCTTCAATATCATCATTTTATTCATGAAGAGCATCATGTCCATCATCATCGTCATCACCATTATCATCATCATATTCATCATCATAAACAACGTCCTTGTCATCATCATCATAAAAATATCATAATATATATTTAAAAAAACATAATCGTAATTACAGGCCTCATTAAAATCAGCAATATCATAAATAACAATATCATATTCATCCTTATGATCATCATAATCATCCTGATCGACATCACTATCATCAATATCATTATCAATATCATAAAGCTATTCACAATCGTGATCATCATCATCATTATCATCAGCAACATCCTTATCATCGTCATCATAAATACAATGATAATCAAATTCAACATCATTATCATAATCATCATATAATAATGATCCTTATCTTCCTAATGATCAGCATGCTCATCATGCTCATCTTCATCATTGTCATCTTCATTTTTCCATCAGCTTATTCATTAACATCATCATCATCATAAACATAAGCATCAAATTCATCATCATTTGCATCATCATTCTCTTCATCACCCTCATCTTCCATACCAACATCCATTTTAACCTTATGATTATCCTCAACATAAACAGCATCAGCATCGTCATCATCATCAACAACAAAGTTAACATCATCATCAAAATAACCATCAAAATCATCACCATCATCATCATCATCATCATCATCATCATCATCATCATCATCATCATCATCATCATCATCATCATCATCATCATCATCATCATCATCATCATCATCATCATCATCATCATCATCATCATCATCATCATCATCATCATCATCATCATCATCATCATCATCATCATCATCATCATCATCATCATCATCATCATCATCATCATCATCATCATCATCATCATCATCATCATCATCATCAGTCATCATCATTATCATCATCTTCATCATCATGATCATCATCATTACCATCATCATCATCATCATCATCATCATCATCCTCATCATCATCTTCATCATCATCATCATCATCATCATCATCATCATCATCATCATCATCATCATCATCATCATCATCATCATCATCATCATCATCATCATCATCATCATCATCATCATCATCATCATCATCATCATCATCATCATCATCATCATCATCATCATCATCATCATCATCATCATCATCATCATCAACAAAATCATCATCGTCATTATCATCAGCATCATCATTATCCGTATCAGTATCATCCTCATTATCCGCATTATTGTCGTCATCATCAATGTGCTCATCGTTATCAGCATAATCATCATAATCACCCTCATCATCACCATTATCATCAGCATCATCTTCAACATCATCAATACCAGGATTTACATATGCAACCACACCATCATCACAATTATTATCAACATCATCATCATCGTCATCATTATTATCATCGTCATCATCAAGGTCAAGGCCACGGCAACCGGTTTGAAATTTACCGCTCCGCTCCCAGGCCAGATTATTCCAGTTTTGTGCCAGATTTTGATATTTGTGTTTCAGA